GCATGCAATACAGCAGCATTCAGCCCTGCAACCTCTGCTTCTTGCTTTGCCTGGGGTGTGAGCCTCTGACCACTCCTGAGGGCCTACCTTCCAAAACTTTATTGTCCTTGCCATTCCCTACTCTCTTTTTAAGCATGACTGCCTTCAGGTCACAGCCTAGACTATTCCATTCATCATCATTAAGTGCACATCTAGTCTCAGGTGAATTTTATCAGTCTAAATATTTTCTGTCATTGCCGACCCAAAGCCAAGGTACATAGAGCTTCTGCATCTGGTCAGCTCAGCCTTGCAGCGTAAGTGCTCAGGTCTCCTCCAGCACTGCCACCACCGCTTCTTCTCCTATCACCTACCTTGAGAAAGGAATGAAATAAATTCCCAAGCTCCCCTGCCAGCCCCACTCTTCATTCCCTTCCTTTCTCTGGCACCCTGGCCTACGGCTACAGTGCCTCAGTCTTTGGCCTACACATCAGCTCTGCAGCCTTGTTGAAACTCAGCTGCAGCATCAGCCTCATATTCCCTTTAGAGTGCTCTTCGTTCTTGTTTTAGAAAAATGCAGTGCAAGTGCAAAGCTTATTAAGTCTGTACTGAAACCAATAAACCACCAAGTGACAGATAAACAAATTACCTTCTCCTCAGGCAGTCTCCTCAGAAGGTTACTTCTCCCTCCCCAGGGAGGCACAAGGTCTCTCATTTCTGTGATGTCCTGATAACACGTGCAGTTCTGCACTACAATAATGACTGCACACAGATCGCACACCTCAGGTCTTCAGCCACTTGCATGCTGAATCCAGAAAGGGACTATTGCCCTCAGTACAAGATTGGCCAGGTTTGGGTTTTTTTTTCCTTTTATGAGTGCTTCGCCTGCTTCTGAAACACTTGAGCATAAATGGTAGGTGGGACACAGAACAGGACAGGACAAAACTGAGAAAAGGGTCCTCCCTCTTCACTTCAGGGTATCAACTGATACCTACCTGGATAATCTGCTAATCACATTACCAAATTTGGCAATAAATATTGCTCCAGTCTTCCACTGTCCTCTCCGACTGGTGAGGCATTCATTTTCTCCTACCTTCTTCAATCTGCATCTCAGAATATCTCATCTCAGTGACTGCTCTGCTCCTTCCATTTTCTGAGGTATGGCTCCCATCTCTTCGACTTTCAAGGCCAGAAATGTCTTCACTTGTCTTAAATTATTGGTGTCAATATATGTTGTCAATTCAACGGCACATACAGGAAACCAGATCAGGTAATTTAATTTCCTCCCCTCTGCTCAGCACTGGTGAGACACACCTGGAGTACTGTGTCCAGGTCTGGGCTCCCCAGCACAAGACAGACTTACTGGTCTTGCTGGAGTGAGTTCAACAAAGGTCCATGAAGGTCATTAATGGACTGGAGCATCTGACTGATGAGGAGAGATGGAGAGAGCTGGGAATGCTCAGCTTGGAGAAAAGGTGTATGAATTCTTGGCAGGGGGAGTAAAGAGGATGGAGCCAAGCACTTCTCAGTGGGGCTCAGTAACAGGACAAGAGGCAATGGGCACAAACTGAAAATTTTAAATGTAAAAGAAACCTTTTTTTACTGTAAGAGCTGTTGAGCGCTGGCACAGGTTGCCTAGAGAGGTGATGGAGTCTCCATCCTTGCAGATATTCAAAACCTGACTGGACACAGCCCTGAGCAACCTGCTCCAGCTGACCCTGTGTGAGCAGCTAGGCTGGACGAGCCAAGCTCAGCAAGCCTCTGATTCTGCAACCTAACAGGCTCCTCTGGCCTAAACCTCTGTGAAATCAGTCCAAGTCATTGTGTTCAACTGCTCATTTAAAGCAAGAGAAATTATTAAATACCCAGATGTTGAGAGAAATGGGCTTGCTCGATCGCACCATGGTTGTCTACATCAACTACCTCAGGATAGCTGAAGTGTGAAGCAACCACCTCTTGCTCGAGACTTGCTGCTGTAAGAGTCACCTAACAGGGCGCAGAGACCCAAACTTCCAGCAGATGACTGGCTCCATCCAAAAAAGTGAGGAGGCCTTGGTGAACCCCAGAGCAATGAGCAGTGGCCACTAGTGGACTCCTCAAAGGAGCAGACACTGTTGTGTCTGCCACCGTGCCTGCAGACTTCCCACTGGCAGCAAAATCGGTCCTTCAGCACGTTCTTTGCCAAGTCACTTTACCTACAACAAGCTTTTGACAGGGATGACAGAGCCGAGGCAGCCCTTCCCCTTGCAATCGTGCGCTGTGGCACCGCACTGCTCAGAGCACACAGCTGTCAGCTTGATAAAACTTGGTGTCACATACAAAACTGAAATTGTCCTCAAGTTATTAAAAAAAATAAAATCAAAGCCTCATAAAAATCACATTTTATAAGGCTTACCAGGCTTGATACTGCAAAGTCAGCTCAGTGAGACCAAAAATACCCACCCTACCTGTGGTTCCATCCACTCCTCCTTTGTGTCTCCCGTGGAGGTGGCTGCAGTCCATTCTGCTTTCATAGATATGTGAACATATGCAGATGAACACATGTGGACTCAGACTTATTTTTTTAAGTAATTGAAGGACCAGAAAATTCATTCTTTTGCATAGCAAAAATGGCCATTTTTAACAGAATCAAACATCCTCCCAAAGGTAACTAAGAAAGCGATCTGCTATTTTCCAAATGGCTGCTTTGGTGCTTGTGGTTTTTTAACATTTGAAATAGCTGATTCTCACATCCCTCTCTTTGTGAAAGAAGTGGGAAGATTCATGGATCTGACTAACCCAAGAAAAAGAAGAGAAACTGATTTCTAAGCACTAAAATTGTTAATTTGGTTTGAACCTCGAAAGCGCCCCTATATTTTCATTTTTTACACTCTGAACTCTACTGTTTCACCAAGACCCAGAGCTAAAGTGAGAGAGGACAGAGATTAGGTCTGTGCTAAGACACAGCATCTTTCTGTGGCTGCTTTTAGCCCTGCTTTCTGACCTCAGTTTAGCTGGCCAGGTTCTCAGGAGAAAGCCAAATTATACCCAAACTCCTCTAGAGGCACCAGACGATCCCCCTCTGGCAACAAAAAAGGGTGCCAAGGAAAGTTCGGAAAGAATTTATATCTGTGCTTGACAGTTGGCAATTCTGGAACAAGCTTAAGCATAGTTAAACCCTGGACAAAATTTGAATGTTGTCTTCTTCAGAAAATGTATGCTAAGAGTTAATGCACTTCCTGTTTAATAGGAAAATTATGATAATGTAGAAAATGTAATACATATATCCAATACAGTATCTCACGCAGTGGGAATAAAGTGGTTAAAAAAAATACAGTAAATCCTGATGTAGGCACCAATGACAATTCTGGCATTAAAGTAGCATATATTTGGTAAGAAGAAAGAAACCTGTACTGGAAGACATACTGCAGTGCATGGCATGTCACTGAGTGAGACCACGAAATCCAAAACTCAGCCTTCTGTGGCACCTGGGTTTTTCTTCAAATGCATCTACAGCTCCTCCTGCAGCAGGAAAAACAAAGGATAGCTGGAAGAGATAGGATGCCCTGGAAAGAGATAACCTTTGGAAAAATGTATGTCCTTTTAGGAACATTTGAGCATAGCCTAGATGATCCCTCAGAGGCAGCCCAGAACCTGACCATGGTAAGATGGTGGGTCTTGCTCCAGCAAAGGGCTGGGCCATCTTACCTGGACACAGGGGACACTGCTGCTTTGCATGCTCAGGAAATTTTCTGTTCTTCTACAATACAAGAAGTTAAAAAAAAAAAAAGGTCTCCTTACTGATTAAACAGATGATGTACCTTTCCCAAGGCATTACTCAAGCTGGGCTACCTTCATGAGCTCTTCCACAATTACAGCAGGCATTTGCAAACCCACCACCACTGATTTGTAGCATGGACCTCTTGGGTTAAGGTCTACCAATTGAGATTTCTATGCCACACTGTCACTGTTGAGAGAAAAAGCCCCTTTCCTGTTGTTAAACTAGTCTGGGCAACTGCCAGAGCCCAACTTAAATGAACACAGACAGCACAGGTTGCGCTGACTGACAGCATTGCCCTACATTGCGCAAAGCGGCTGCCGAGCATGAGCTCAGATGTCTCTTCATAAAAACTTGCCTGAGGTAACCCACAATTGTCCTGCTGGCATGTACACATGTAAGGAGCCATCTGGCAAGTAAAGCGGCCACTCAGAACTTTTACCATCACTTTTTGCAGAGATCATTCTCACTAACCAGAACAGCTCCACCGATCACATGAATAGTTAAGACTCTGCCTGTCTCTCCCCTGTGCTATATCACTATACAATCTGAAATAAAATTTTAAATCTAAAATTGATCCAGCTTTCTTGTCCTGTATATTATGAATTCTCTTCATGTTTGCCACCTGTCACATTTTGCCAAAATTAACAACACACTCAGCTAAAGTGAAAAAAACACATAAGAAAGCAGGCATCAAGCCAACATTGAATAATGCCACCTGAAGGGAGGACTAAAGTAATGCCCAAAACGTCACACCATTTGGCATCATCTATCAGTTTTTCGCAGGATGATGGACTGCAGAAAGATGCTGAGCTTTGACATTTCACCTCTGACTACAAGAGAGAACACCTGAAATCTGAAATAGTTGATTTCTTTTTCTTCTTTTTTTCTCTCCCCCCCCCCAAAGGAACATTGTAAATGATACTAAGTGACCTTTTCAAACACTCCAGATGAAGGGGGAAAAGCACTCAGAAGGCACATGCTTTCTTCTGCACTCTAATTGTGGGATATATCCTACTCATCTTATCGAAAAAACACCTTCCTAAACAGAACTTGTGGGGTAAAACAGGCATCCAGGGCGTCCGCAGATGTTCAGCTGGGTAATAAATGAACAGTGCTCTTAGTGAAGAACTGACCTTGGATGGTGACAGGAGCCATTCTTCTCTCACACAGACGGTCTTCTCCTGTCCAAAGCAAAAGAGAGCAACAAGCGCGCGTGTGCCTGCCTGCGCTTCTGCGACTGAGCCAGCAAGAAAGGGAAAAGCACTTAAGTTCATGCACATTTTTATTGAGTAGTAATATAAAATGCTTCTTTCATTGTTACAAGTGCATGCTTTGATTGCCAACATTTCGAAGTCAAATTACAAAGGCAAGGCTGTAGGCTGTAGTGAATTACTTGGGCACTTATACAATTGTTAAAAAATATCAATGGACTGTTTTGTTTCCTTTTCTTTTTTCAGAATGAACCAGTTGAAACCCGTAACTGATATACAAAGGGAAAAAAGTGAAAAAATTACACATTTTGTGGCACGTGACAGAACAGAACAAAATGACTAAACCATTATGACATTGACAGTTATCATGCATTTAGAATTTCACATGTAACTACAAACTTATTTAAATTTCACAAGGTTTGCTAAACATGCTACCCATCTATATGTGCACTGACAAGCTTATGTTAAAAACTTTAAGAATACTCTCCCCTTAGATTTTTCAAAGCTTTTTTTTTCGATTACAAAATTTCAAAGGCATTAAGCATTTTTTTTAGAGAATATAAAGTACGCCAGTATACATACATTTCCAGTATAAGTCAGACCACTAAGCGCATTACAGTCCCATACAGGCCTATACAGCCATTTTTTCTTAAAAAACATGCATAGGCAGATTTTTACAGAATATAGATGCTTTTCACTGCACTTAATATGGTGTCTTGTTCACTATACTTAAAAATGCACCACTCATAAATATTTAAATTCAGCAAGCCACAACCAAGACTTGATTTACCAAAAAAACCCAGAAAACCCCCCAAACCAAACCCCCCTAAATATAAACAGCAAAAAAAGATAAATTTTATCATTATTCCAGTTTTTTTTTAAACAAAGAAAAGGATAATTGCTGCCAAATTAGTAAGATAAGTGTTATATTTAAAGAAGGGCATTGAAGCACACTAAAGAAACCTGAGGTAAGCATAATCTGTACAAAATTAAACTGTCGCTCTCGCTCGCTCTCTCACTCTCTCTCTTTCTCTTTTTTTTGGCATTTTAAACAAATTTCCAACATTCTTTTTTTTTTCCTCTATATTTTTAAAGACTGCCTAATTTATTTCATAGCCATTGTCTGACAAGAGTAGCAAAACATTATCAATAAATAGTCCTTATTTAGTTTGTACATTTTGTTAAAAATGTTTCGATGTTGTCCATGTTTAGTGCTGCAACTGTAAACGTACAATAGTTAGTAAGAAATTAAACAAAGTTTTCATGTCCAGTAACATAATAAAAGGCCTTTCAGTAACATATCTAGACGTTCCAAATGCAGTAGGAAAACATGTTCATTCCCCTAACTTTGCAATATATACCAGCATGAGCTTCCATTTTTCTACAAGCATTTTAAAGGCATATCCAAAGGAGGTGTCTCTCCCCCAGCCCCCCTCCCACCAAATTAAAGTTGACGATCTCTTCGTAGATGATTTTTGTAAACTGAATCCAACACCTGGCCCCCAGAGCAAGTAAGCTATTATCAGAGGCAAGAACATCCCACTGCTGATGTGCAGCAACCCCATCGCGCCCTGCAGCTCAACCCCCCTCCCAGACAGTGGTCACTGAATATTGCTGCTATTACTGCCGTTGCTGTCCGTGCCATTAGTCTCTGTGGAGATTGCCTTGTTGATGGAGTTAAGGTTGGCATCGGATGGCACGTCTCTGCGCGGAGGCATTCGCTCATTAATTCGATCTAAGCCTTTCGCCTCTTCGAAGCTAGTGATCTTATGCTGGGGTGAAAATCCTTTGATAGCTAAATAAAGGATTATTAAAAAGTAAAATTAGCAAGGTAGAAGTCTCGGCAGCTTTTCCCCCAACTTAGCAATGAGTGCGAAAGTCCTTCTTTGAGAAGGTGTCAATGAGAAATTTGACAACATGACCGACTCCTTACCGTGCTCAGAAAGAGATGGGGGTTAACCACCACCGTCTCTTCAACACAACTATTTTTTTCAACAAGATCAGCTTCCAGTATTTTTTTGTCCATCTTAAAATGCTAAGAAGCTGACATGAAACTACAGTTTGCAATCACGAACTATGCTTAGGGCACTGCTGTAAGCTGTTGAGTTAGCATTTGTCCTCATCACACATCGTGCTTTGCTGTAACATCCTTAATCAGGCAAAACTTCCATTTGACTTTCAAAGACCAGGGGAAAAAGCACTGGCCAGTTAAAGATGGTGATGACACAGTGAGGCCAGTTTGGGGGATATACGCTAATGCTATGGGAAATTTGGGACAACCCTACAATATGTTGCCTTATGTTCTCAACACAGGTGAGCTGCTTGTTGATTGGTCGGGGCAGTTACCCTCCTGGGTCAAACAGCGGTAACGCTGTGCAACACGGACCAGGAATATTGTCATTTTGGTACATGTGTACAGTTTAACTTTGGAAACGCGCTGACAAAGGACCAAAGCTCCAACTGAACCCGAGGACTTCTGATCTGCCCTTCAGCAGTGACACTGATGAGGCCACACCAACCTCAGAAGGCAGCCACAGGCTGGGGAATGTAACTGTAGAGTGTGATTTTTATTTTATTTTTTTTCTCTCTAATTGGAGAGTTGAAGACCTTTAGATTTAAAGCTAAAGAGAAAAAGGCACCATACAGTAGGTCACAGCTCCGTAGATAATTTGTCATAGCCTTCTGTGTGTTTTTCTCTTATCTGCACAAAATCAATGCATTGCACTTCCAGAACTGGTGCTTTTACTATGCCGCTATCTTAACATGCCATAGAGCAGAAATGGTGTGTTAGTACCAGGAAACTGCAAACTCCCTGGGGAGAAAATGGTAGGGGAGTTTCAAAAGTAAAATACAGTATTCCTTCCCTCCCTTTATCTTCTCTTTACCCTGAAGTACTCCTGCTCTCCTTCCAATATGCAGTCCTGATTCTGGACAAGCTGGTAGCTTCTGTTAAAAAAAAAGTGAAAAAATCCAAAACCCCAGAATATCCCTGGTACCAATCTACCACTCTTTACATCTTGGGGGGAGCGAGAAAAGCGTTTTCATGCTGATACTTTTGCCAACCATTCCTGTGAAAATGGATAGATCCCGTTTGCTTCAGGATTTAGTTCCTTAGCCAGTTTCACAAATGTTACATTGGAACTTTGTGAAGTGCATGGGTTTTAACATGTATTGTACTTCAACTGAGAAAAACAACAACAATGTAATGGTGATTAGTCAAGTGAGCAGGGATGGAGCAATGAAAACAGAACAGACCCTACAGTGAGTTTTTTCCCATTGTTTGTTTCATTTGTTGTTTGTTTGGTTTTTTTTTTTTACTTTATCGTCTACCACAAAAAGTGAGATGTCTAACAAGCACCCAGGCCAAGCCCTTTAAAGCAACAGTGTAATGTATGGCCGTGTTGAAGCTGAAACACTTGCCGTGCGCTGGAGCTTGCCAGTGGCATGCCCTAGTCGGTGTTAGCGGGCCCTGAATCAAACGGCAGAGGGACAATTGGTAAAGGGGGAAACATTTTCTCCATCGTTAGCTTTGTCTACGTAGTCATTACGACCACAGTCACAGTGTCTAACTAGCGAGGATGGCAAATCAAGAATTCACTTGAAGGGTGTATATTGCTGGAATGAGGGCACGTTCAATTGGTTGTATTTCAAGCGGACACGCTATCGTCTGTAATAGTGAGGAAGGTGCTCTGCTGTAGTTGCTGGTCAGACAACGAGTATTAGCAGTTTACATTGAGAGTATACTAAAACACAACACATAGTCACAGAAAATCACAGAAAACAGCCAAACTGTCAACGAGAATGCACACTGCAGATTAGAGATTGCCGATAGGAATAGATAATTCCAACATAAATAGCAGCTTACTCACTGCTATTTAGAAAGCAGTTGTATTTTCTCTTACTTGTTTAGTTCTGTAATTTTATTCACTGCTTTACAAAAATCAAAAACAAATTCAACTGGCCAAAAGGGCACATCTTACCAACAGAGAGCAATCATCAGATTTTTTTTTTAATCAACTAAAAGAAAAAAGTACCCACAGATAATTTGAGAGGGGCAAGAACAAAATACAACTGAAGAATTTTGTTTTAAAGGGGAATTCTGAAAATTCTTCTTCCAAAACTTTATAATGCTGAAAGAATATTGTGAATCTACATTGCAATAAGTGATTACTTAGGTTTTAACTGTAGCATTAAAAATTGCTTAAGGGTTAAATTAGAGTTCTGTCAATAAAGCACCACAGTTTTCAATACTGAACATTCAGAAATCTTCTGAGGCAGCCAGACACTTTATATTTGTAGCTAAAATAGTGCTGGTGTTAATGGTTGCTCTAATGTAAATATCCAGTGTGTAAACTGCCACTACCAGAGGAAGCAGACATCTTGCAGACAAATGTCTCATGTTGTTTTACTTTTAAAGAGAAACAGAAACATGAATTGTAACAAAAGACCAATAAAATTTTTCTACCAGTGACCCAAAAGAAAGGAAACAAACTGAAGCAAAAAAGTGGGGGGGGGGGAACCCAACAAAAAGAGAGAATATTTATAAAAAGCTGTGTGTTTTCCTCGACCAGGGATTGCTGAGGGTGGTTTGAGTGGAGACCAGATCCAGCCTCCAGCATGCAACTTTTGAGCTATGTGTCACAGAGCTTTTACAAGCTGCTGCCGAGCCATGTCCCAGGAAATCCAAGTCCCCTGACCTCCTTCTGTGGCATTACTCAGTGCTTAATTCAACATACAGCAATTCCAACATGATTGTAACTTTCAGAAAGGAAAAAAACCACAACAGCAGCAATGGAGGGAAAAAAAAACCAAAACCCAAAAAAAGGCATTTTCCCCTTTAAAGCAATTACATTTTGGTTAATACCGAGCCACAATTGTTAGCCCAACACCCACACAATCTGTACAAGCTACAGCAAAATGAATACACCCAGCAGAGCCCTTATCTGTTGTGGCACCAACAGAAAGGGGACTGGCCAATTTACCTTCATCAGCCTCAATAGCCTCAACAGTAGCTGAAGAGAAGAAAGGGGTAGCAAAACGAATGAGAAAAATGAGCAGAGGATTTTAACTCTAAGAACAAGTCAGTGAAGAGCAAAGGAGCTACGACACTAATGTTACTGTAAGTGCTGGATTTTGGCAAAACAGACACACACAAAATGCTTACATAAAAACAACAGTTTGCAGATTGAATTAAGCTATAGTTTGTTTTGAAGCAGAAGTTTCACAAACTAAACATTTTTAAAGAGACATTTTGAGTAGTTTACTTTTGACTCAAAAGAACTGCAGAATGAAAATGCCTTCCATATTGCACATCTGACCTGAAAAGGTCATCGTATAATTCTCCCAGCTTTGAGTAAGAGCAGTTTGATTTCCTCTGTCAAAAGAGAACGAAAAATGGCATAAAGCCATCACACAAAATTCATACCACTTAGGATGTCAGCTTGAAAAGTATTAGCTGCCAGTACAAGGCAAAAGAGCCACATATACAACTTCTCAGAATGAATTTTTTCTCTCTCCTGACTAAAAGAAACCTCCCTACAACACGGGACAGAGTTTGCTCCATCTCTAGGTGTCTTTTTTGTCAACCCACTCTCTGAAAACAGCATTCTTCTAGTATTTTATTTAAATCAATGGACATAGATACAAGTTTGGACCCATCGGACCTCCAAATGTAAACTCTGATCAGAGAGAGAAAATTTGTAATCGAGAGGTTGCTGCAGTGTTAGAAATAGCATGTTACTACTGCTTTGAAACCATTCATTCTTCTTAAAAACATAATTTCATTTGAATTCTACCCATTAGCTTTGGCATGAATTTGTTTCTACAGTCAGAGGTTTTGAAGCTGATGCAAATCAGCAAATGTAATCCAATATAGCAGTGATACAGTTCAAATATTTAAAAAGAAATTTTGATTTTCAAAAACTTCTCTGGTTTAGAGAATAGCTCAAGAAGCCAAGTTTTCAGGAATTCCTCTCTTATTGTTTGTCTTATTTTCCCCTAGGTAAAAGCTCTTTTTTTGTCCTCCATAAAACCCAAACATGTTTTTTTTGTAGTTAGGATGTTAAATATGGATTGAGATCTCTACTAAAAGATGTAATCTATTATCTTGCTGCATGGGGAAATGGGGAGCTAACCCACATGCACCAAGGTAATCCTATGCCTCTCAAGCTACAGAGCAAGAGATGGCAAAAAACAAGGAACGAAACCAATGCAAACTCAAGAGAAAAGGAAACACGATAACTAGGATGAGAAATTAAAATGAATAACCAGATCCAAACCAGCACTGACACATTAGGGGAAAAAAAAGACAACTAAAATGTATACTTCCACAACAGAACATACTACTCATATTTTCTGTTAATACATATGGTAATATAAATTTGTGCTTAACAGAAACTATGTAAACTTCAGTTTATTTGGTGAATGGGGTACTACGTGTTAACTAATGCAGAAGCTTGTGTATAGTAATGTTTTACTAAGCCAGAATACTGCAGTATGAGGTTTTCTTTTTAGCCACTGGAACAAGAACTTTAGGCAATTTTCTCAAATTCATTTTAATTCTAGGAATCAATAGCAGTTTCCTTGGACCAAATTTTCTGACAAACGTAAAGCAACTGCATGGAGAAAAGCCTAGGTAAAGACCACTACCCCATTAAGAAAGGCATCCTGCCGAATCATATTGCAGCATTTTCAAAGCAGAACGTTACTATGTCCGTAACACACAAGTCATCAAAAAGAAAAAAAGGGAAGGCAAAAAAAGGGAAAAAAAGGTTTACCACCGTATACCTGAATCTTCTAGGTAAAAGAGACAGTAAAGGGAAAAATACAGAGAAAGAATGCTCCAGGAAGGAAACAGGAAAACAAGAGGCTGAGACTGTGTTAAGGTTATAAAGCATTTCTATTTCTTACATCTACTGCCAACAGAACCTCAATAAGCGAGAGACATTCTTGTGTGCCTGCAATATACTCTACAGCAATACACACACAAAAAGGAGAGCTTACAGTGGTAAATTAAATAGTTTGCAGCTCCTTATTCCTAAAGGAATATTTCAAAGGCAGCCCTACTACAGACTTACAGATTCCCTGTAACAAGAAGCAGTTGGTATAAAACTGAACTGACAATCTGTATTGTGTTTGTGTACAAGGCAAATGCACTGTTTGTAAGAGCCTCCCTTCACTTGGGCTTAAATCAGAGTGAAATTGTTCTCATGCTGTCACCTAGAATTACTAGGAGAGAAAATCTAATTCTAGAGCTATTTTCCATTGGCGATTCTCTATGAGGAAGAACAAATCAGATAAAATAAAGAGCTTGAGTGTCATTATCTAAGCTGAACCTTCAGTACTCTGTGTATCAAAGGCTGCTCTTAAAAAAAAAATTAAAAAAAAGATGCTGTAAACTGTGGGAAGAGAGCACTTCACATGCAATGCTCATCTACCATTCTGAACAGTTGATTTTCAGGGACTTTCCTCCCCCCTCTTTCTCTGCAAATCAGTGGTACGTAATGCCTTGAGAAGTGGCCTTACATGAACTGCTCACTAATGCTTCAGAACAAGAAACTGCCTGTTTCATTCCGCCCTTTATTTTTTTTCTGGGAAGACTGTGGTTACTTTCCTTGGGTTCTGCAGCTGAAAACCAATTATTTTTTTTACACACAATGACACGCAGAGGCAAACACGCTTACCGCTTTGCAGTGTTTGTTTTCCTCCAGAGAGCACACCACTGGGCAGCATTCCTGTTGGAGTCAAACCTTTCAGTGTCAGCACACTTTCACTCTCTTCTCTGCAAAAAGGGAAAAAAACCAAAGTAAATAGATGTCTCCTTTTAAAAACACAGAACACATTTTAGACACCTGCCCTACAATGACTTGGCATCTCTAATTTCCTTACCAGGACACATTGCATCTGGTGCTGATACCGGCATCAGTGCAGTTCTCCCCACTGGTGTGCAAGTGCTTCACATTTGCACCACACCAAGCACAGGCTTCCATTATAGTTAACACTATAACCTGCACCTATGGAACAATGTGTAACACACATTGGAATATATATACGTAAAACCACAAACTTGATAGGAGAAGGACCAAGGAAGCGGTTATTGCCAGCAATACATTTAAGTGTCTTACATTATGTGGTCCAAAATCGACTGAAATTGTTTTGTTTTTGTCTACATGAGCAGTCAGGTGCATTATTTATTAATGATCATCAGCCACTTACCAAGAAAAAAAGCAGCTAAAAGGTCATTACAATAAGCACTTCCATCCTTACTACCACTGTTCTTAATAGTTTTGTAAAAAAATGAAACGGGATTCAAGAAAAATGTTTTAGAAAACCTAAATATGTTTTGGCCAGTCTTCAAATACATATAGTTTTTAATATATGGCAAGAGGAATACAACAACTCTATTCAGACAAGCCGTTAAATACAGCTTTCTATGAGCACTGTAATACTGTCTATGCTGACATACTTTCTCAGCAGCAAAACTGACCCCAATTCTTTAAGAGAAACCTATTTTGAAGTGCTTTACTTTGAAATTTATAATGACATTAAGCTGGAGGAAGCAAGTACGAAGACAGAATTTAGTTCCACATTCATTTGAGGATAATGTGGTTTTGTCTATCAAAACTGTCTCTCACCAACTCTACTCCTTACAATTTTCTTTAGACCTACGTGCTCTGAATTACTCACACATTTCAAACAGTTCTTGTTTATCCACTATATATACTCTCCAGGTTCTATATTTAGTCTGAAAATGATTCTCCTTGTACACGCTTTTCTTTGAGCAAGTCAAAATCAAATTGTGACCATTTTCCTTGCCAGTTACCTAAGCAATTAAAACTAATGCAACAGCCAAATATTTCCAGAATTAACACAGTATTTTAATCATCAAGATTTACACACCAAAGTTTTTGCTTTCTCTTGATTCCTTGCCTCTGCGAGCAAATGCATAATCTGCATTTAAAATTCAGTCCATTTCATCTCTTTTTAATTAAACCGCAATGGCACTTTTAGCTTCACCTTCATAAGATAAGTTAATTCATTGTATTTTTATCTTTAAACTGCATATTGCAGGAAACCTCTGTATCATAAATGTTGAGATTTTTTTTAGACTTGAATGTTCCTTATTTTCTATTTGATGTTCTTTACTTTCATTTAAAAAAAGGAATATAAACTGATTAAATATTTTATTTACCACCTTCCTGTCTAAATATATCCAAAGAAAATTCAGACTTGAGAAATAAAGTCAGAGAGAGGCAATGACTGTAAATCATGAGGTCTTCCACTGAGCTTAAGCCACTCATTTATAACCTTTGAAACTCAATCCAACACTATTTTGATATCTAGTTTTTGAGACTAAATTGGCTGAAATGATCTCAGTTTTACATTCTGGTTATATCCTTGAGGAAAGCAGCTAGTCTAGCACAGAGAAGAGATGTGTGACCGAGTCCTTTGAAGGTGGTCAGATCAAGTGCTGATCACAGGGAAATGTTTTTCAGGAATTAGTAAAATAGATTTCATAGAACAGCAATGACTCAAACAGGAACTTCAAAGGTTTCCAAAACAGGCTGATTCAGATGACTGTGCCACTGCAGCCTCTGCGGGGTTACACACAATTCTCAGTCACTCTTGTGTTACGTGTGGATTGTGCTGGCAAGACAGGAAAAAAATAACGCAAGCTTTTCTATAGGAACAGTATTTGGAGGATTAATCTCATGTCATTTTTGCTGTCTAGAAGCCTGGCACCTAGATGAGGAGAATCAGCCTTTCCCAGCAAAAGAGAAGTCCTCCCAGGGGTCAATGGATGAAATGTCACGCACGCCCCTGGAAGACTGGTCAGCAGAACTGCTCATGAGAGGGACCTCTCTATTTGCTGACTACGCCTCTGGCCACAGTAAGGATGCGCTGTATTTGCTGGTTAAAGGTAAGAGAGAACAAATACACTCCTAATCTTCAGTCCTTCCTGCAAAGTTTTATGGTCCATCAGTAACCACAAACTGTAAAAGGCTCAGCAGCTTCAGTGAGTGAATCCCTGGCTTCTCCTCTACCAGATACAGACCATTCTGGACTTCTGGAGATGTTGAGATGCATGTCTCAATGCAAAAAATTGTATCATGAACAACTCTGAGATGAATTTGACTGCTTTTCAGGGAATGATCAAAACTGATTTCCATCAGTGCCTCAAAATGTTGATTTTCATGAAATAATTTAAGAGGACTCAAAGTTTCAAATGGTGCTAAAACTCTGAGCTATGAGGTTCATGCATATCCCTTTAAACAGGGCACACTCAAGAATTATGCTGTACCCTTCTTCCATCCCTGAAACACTGAAAGGCTCCTGACCCACAGTTCCCTTTGAAAAAGTATTTGACATATAGGTGCTGTCAATCATTTTCAAATTATAAAACTCAAGATATATCAGCTGGGCATCCAATTTCAGGCCTTTCTGTATATTTAACTTCAGTTTCTGTTAAATTAATTCTGTATTTCAAAAGGTGCTCTACAACAAAACAGCAAATCCAGAAGCTGCAGTTGAAGGTTATGGGAGAAAGCCAGGTTTCCCAAACTTTGTTTGCCCAACTATCATCAGAGAAAAAAAATCATGCTGTTTTATAAAGGTGGTGGCAATGTCAGCTCCAGGCTCTCCGCCAGACTTGGTACAAGGAGCAGGTGGCAACATCTGATTGTTCCCCCGTCTTGTTTAGACAAAAGGCATGACGCCAACTTTTCTTTTTTTCTTATGGGTACCACTTTGAAGTAGCTTGTGCATCACTAGTAATTCACATATAACACTTTGGGAACCCCAGGTACAAAGCCCTCCATCTCAGTACACTATTTAAAGCTGTGCTGCTGCAATCTGCAACGCGTGGGCGAACTGCTGTGTCCATGTGAAGCCCCACTGACAACCTGCCCACTGCTTGCACACTGCAGATGAGTCTCAAATCAAGCAAGTTTGAGAGTTTCATCTGAAATTGAATGTATTCTTCAAGCAACTATTTTTATTTCCTCTTTTTACACTAATCAAACAATCATACCAATAATTTTTTTAAAAATGCCTTGATTTTACACTAACCATAATAGCCTTAAACTGACTACAGCAGAGAAATGTACTATTACCTGAGGAAAAAATCCCTCTGCTGAAAGAGAGGGAGAAGGAACTGTATTTTCTATATTTAGACCTCAGCACAGTGCAGTACAGCATGTTTTCTACTCAGAGACATCAAATGGAAAGCTCTAAACATTGGGTAGCAACTCATTACTCACGTTCTTGTGTTTGGGGGAGTGCAGCCCAAGGTAATGAGCTGCTGTTGTCTGCACAATGATTTCCTGGATTTTTAGTTAAATGACCCTAATACTGTCATCTTTAATCATCTTTACTCACAGCTGTAGCAACAACTGTGGGTGACAAAGTGGGACAGTTGGCTTCCTTTTTAATGAGACATGACATGGGACATACTCTTTCTCCACATTCAACTCCTGCTTCACAGTGGCTAAGAGTTCATTAGTGTATACCTGGTGAGCTAAAGCATTTTTTTTTTAAAAAAGTGTAACTGAAGTTTTCTTTGCTGCTGTCTTTTGTTTGTTTGTCTCGTTTATGTCCAGGAAAAGACCTGAGGAAGATTATTCAGAGCCATAATGAATAGCAGTACTGTATAAGTAAAACAATCTTCAAAAGGTTCCAGTAAAATTTAGTTGGGTGGTATAAACTAAAATACTAAACTAACAGTAGGGTGCTACAAGTAATCAATCATTCAAATATGTCCTTTAATATAAATAAAAAATAAAAAAATCAGAACCAGCACAAAACCTTACCTTAACACTGAGAAAACTCTAGCCATTTTTCCTATTGCTCTTATCTTGTTCCTTATAACCTCCTTTCGAGCAGCAGCTGTTGCTCCTATGGAAAACACAGTAAAAACAGTTACAGGGATTTGTAAACAATATGTCACTATTCTGAACTTTAAACACACGAAACATCATATTAATGCTAAAGTTTGCCAAACTAAGCCTCATTTGTAGTCAAAACCAAAACTACATTTTTTTATTTACAGCTCAGGACTGATCACTTTTGAACTATCTACTTATGAGTACCTTTAGAGGTGTGATCCTCTTCCTGTTGCACATTAAAGCTGCATGTTTTTTCATCAATCTGAGCTAATTCTCTATTCCGAAAAATGTTTTCAGAGACCATACCATTTTGAAAACAGTCAAAATGCCAAAAAGATATTCAACAGTGCATAAATCATTAAAAAATTAAAAGAAAAGCTAAATAACAAGGGTGTTAAAATCTATTTCATAATATTATAATTTTAAGTGAAAAACAATCATGTTTCAATTTCCTAAAAAAAAGTGATTGAATTAAAATTAAGGCCAAGAGTGTCCAGTTCAGGCTTTCCCATCCCTAGTCAAAAAGTATTTAAATGGTTATAAAACCTAAAGGCAGAGTCCTGAAAACCAGCATTAAATGGTACAGACTGTGTTAGCTGGCAGTAGTTCAGAAAGTTCCATAGATGAAACTTTATTCTCATCACTGCTATTGCCTGTTCAAAATTACAATTATTCTGAAATGTGTGAACTCACACAATAATCTGCCTTAAAAAAAAACCAACAAAAGCATATGATGGAACAGAGACTACAGTTCAGCAAAGTTTATATGTGTACTTGTTACTTGGATAGCATAAAATCTAGAATATTAGCTGTGCAATGGGGCAAGCAAATAGCAGAAAGTGATCAGAACAAGGAATTTCTTTTAATAAGGACCCCCCACATCCCTGAGAAAATGCCACTTTCACTTAATTATCACAATCATAACCACATACATCATGAAGATTTCTCCCGAGGGCTTCTGAATGAAAGATAACCTTGGCTCGTATAGATGCTGCCTGGCAACTCCTGTCTTGGAGGTTCAAGAGTACAACCTGACAATCACTACACATCACGCCAATGCTTCTTTCTTTGCTGCTGCAGAATTTAAGGGTAAAAATGAAATTTTCTAAAAAATGAAAATGTCTATTTTCAATTCCTAGCAAATTGATCCATTTTATAAGGCAGAGTCCATCACAGAAGCTAAAATAGCAGAAATACCCTGGCATTTTAGAAGAAGTGAAAAGGATGTACATAATTTTTCCTGAACTTGAATTTCAAAACGAATAGCCATCCTTTGCAAAAAAAACCGCTTTCAAAACTGAAAATAAACTCTACTCGTGAATCCTAAAGCTGTTCCAAAGAAAGCTAAGTAACTGTAGGAACAAATATCACAGATAACATAAAAACTCAGGATGAATCTCGCTGTAACTTTTAACATTGTGGTCAAGACCAAGTTTAACCCCAAACAGCGCAAGGGATGAGTTTGATAAAGCAGGAGGTCGATAGCCACACACAGGGAACCCTGGAGAGCTGTTTGTAGGGTCACGTATCCCTGACCAGCCTGAGTACAAATGGGTCGACACTAGCCACACTGTATATGCCCACAGCTATCACTATTTGCCTACTAAAATGTTGATAGCTGTATGCTTACATACTGGGATAAGTTCATATGGCTGCTGAGGAGCATAAACTAGATGTCTTACAATCATGCATACTACTTTTACATGCATCCATCTTTTTGGGCAGCTATTAAACACATTATTTCCAGACATTGCGAATTGTCCTCCTAGACTGTCTTGAAATTATGAGCCCATACCTTGAAGTTCAAACTGAAAGAAACTATGCTCAGAATGATGGCTATCAAATCTCCCACATGTAAAGATAAAAATATAAAGAAAATACATAAATAATATAAAGACATAAAGTCTTAGGCATAAATATCTAATTTTAGACCAAGGGTGGGGAAACAGCTGTAATTCCAATGTAACTGAGTTAGATATTCGAAACAGCTTAATGAAAAATTTAAATTAAACAGCAATGATTCAGCTGGGTTCTTCAGGAAACAGAGCATGTACGTTCCTATCTCAGTTACTACAATCTCACGGAACTGTACTCTCAAGATACACAAGACACGGTTTTCACCTTTTTTACCCTGAAAGCACTTAAACACAAATTGTCTTTATCTTTCCCAAGTGTCACTTTCCCTA